TGCTGTTGCTCTTGCTGTTGCTCTTGCTGTTGCTCTTGCTGTTGCTCTTGCTGTTGCTCTTGCTGTTGCTCTTGCTGTTGCTGTTGCTGTTGCTGTTGCTGTTGCTGCTGCTTTCGATGTTGCTGTTGCTGTTGCTGTTGCTGCTGCTTTCGATGTTGCTGTTGCTACCGTTTTGCTTCTCACTATATGTGTCATTGCTATACAAACTAAGTCAGAGGAAGTATTGCTGTTGATATTAATATAACCAACCATTCGTATCATAACTAGCCGTCGTCATCATCATTGCCTCTTGGCTGAGGAGGCCCTGTTCTCACTGAGCCTCTGTCACACCTAAAGAGAAGCAGTGTCTCGGGAATGCTCTCCTCATAAGCAACTTACACTCCTCATATAAACAACTTACACAAGTCTTGCCATGCTTTGCCCCTCACTTGCAACACGGAGGCTTCTTTGGAACTCCTAGGAGCCGAACTTCCCCCTGCTGCCGAAACTCAGCCGGCCTCTGTCCCATCAGGGGCGAGGGCATTGTGAGCCCCAGCCTCGGAAGGGGTTCGATGCCTTCTCTGAGGCTGTAGCTCAGCCTTATGCCTTTGCCAGGTCCAGTGTTGAATGTTTCGTAGGGATTTAGACGGGTAGGGGTTTCAGGGTGATAAAGCCTGTGGGTTCACTATGCATGTTTCTTTTGGATGCAGCCGAGCTTGGGGTCCCGACATGTTCTGATAGCCATGTCCTGGTATCATTCCCCTCTTCTCCTCGTCTGCAAGGAACAGTTGCAGACTCCTGTCAGGGCCGGGGATATGGGAAACTCAGGTGACTCAGTTCGCGTCGGGCTCTTGGGTTGAAGTGGGGCCTGACTATGGAAAGCTCGCCGAGCCGTGACACTGAACACAGGAAGCCGAGACCTGGCAAACTTGGTTGCAAGCCTGCGGAAGCTCTCTGCTTTGTTACCTTGTAGCTCGATCGTCTACGACGCCCTAAACTCTAAGTGACAGCCCCTGGTTTCAGGTGACCCGAATCACTCAGGTGATACCTGAAGAACCGACTCCGAACCGCCAATTCGGCAGGACCTTCACATCCACACTCTTTTCACAGCCCACCAATTCTTTGGACGTCAAACCCTTCGGGGCCTCGCCTGTCCCAGCCGGCCCCACGGGAAACAAGCAGGCGGGGACAAGCCGGTCGAAGCAAAACGCTGCGGTGGGGCCAGAATGTTACGCAGCATTCCTGAATTAAGAAGAGACCCTACTCTTTTGGAAGTAGTGGTCTGAATTACAGGGGGCCTGGAGTCTTCCCTGCACGGGAATCATGAATCCACTGAGGCTACAGTTTGCAGGCTTCGGCCGTAGTGCCTAGTCTGCCTAGTCCAGAACAGAGAAGCGCTTTGGTGGCGGGCTTGGGGTTTACGCCTGCGCTTTGAGGCCTAGTTTCCATGCATGTGGCAATGGAAGCCTGCTCTTAGTGGGTCTGGTACATGTTAGTGCTTTAAGTAAACGGACCACTGCGCACATGCAATCAGCTTCCCAAGTTCAAGCCGTTGCTGCTGTTGCTGTATATGTTGCCGATGTTGGCGGTGCACAAAAATAATGATGGAGATTGTGATGCTGACACTGATGGTGCATTGCACTATAGTCCCCGATATTGGGATCTACCAGACACTTGCTTGCAAGATGTTCAAACAATTAAATGAACGTATGTTTGCCCACTTCTACTCTACTATGCTCCGTTACAAGGTGCTAAGCTATAGGAAGACATGCAATTATACATTGACGGCCTGTGCTAGATCATGGTACTCTTTCCTGCGGCTGTATTTTGTTGTTACACTGTGTTGCACTGCTGTCCAACACAAGTCTGTGCCAAGCTTGACCATGGTATACGAGCTTGGACATGCGATGCCATGCCTGCCTGTGGTCTGGTAACCCTTGGTGTTTGAAGTGTCTGTTGCTGGGCTTTCTAGCTTTCCCTTCGAAATTTCGAGCTCTAAGCATGCAGGCTTTTCTTGGGTGGTGTGGGCACTAAACCTGTGCATTGAAACCGAGTTTCCATGCAGTGACATGGTGGAGACTTGCTCCTGTTCCTTCAACTAGAGTAACTAGAAAGACTGTGGCAGAGTCAGCTGCTTGTTAGATGGCCGCACCCCACACGCTGTCTGTTTCCCAAGCTATGCTCACCATGCTCACATGACATCTCTGCATGCAAGACACGTTTGCCCGCCGCGCTGGCTCAACTTGTCGAGCTCTTGCCCCGGAGAGTCTTCGAGGGGCTCCGGCTGCGTGCCATCGAAAGCTGACATTGTGCGTCTTGAAATCCGGATACATAGCTTCAACCGCATCATGGAGGCACATGCCGCCCTCGGACAAGAGGTATTGAACATGGGTGTGGCATGCGAGGTGTCTGAAGTGCCCTGATTTGGACACTTCTTCAAAATGCTGGCGAGAGCAGGCAACCCCATCATCCTAGTGGCTTCTATACCGAAGCTGCTGCGCGACTAGATTTCAGGGGCGGGGTGCCCAACGTATCCAAATCAGTCAGCAAACACACCGCCAGCAGATGCTGCTGAGTATGAAGAGATCGACTCGACTCGGGCACTCCTCGGGTTAGGAGAGTCTCTCTGCAGCAGCATCTTGCATGCGGAGGTTGAGCACAACTGCCGGCCACGGTGGGAAGATAGGATTTGAGAGTCCAATAGAGTCCAATGCGACAGGTGAATCTGCTGTCAGCCGTCTTCTAACACACACAGCCCAAACATTCCCAAAATCCCGATGCGTCACCATGCGACCCCCAACCCTGAATTTCATAGCAATCAGTAAAGTACATGACTCAAGCTTTCAGACAAAGGGATCTAGGAGGTGCCCTTCACACCACTCAGCCCTCGAACTGCATAAGGGAAAGATCTGCTGCCTGAAGCTCTACACGTAAGACTCCTCAAATCCCGGTGAGACGCCGTGGCCTCCATTCAACCAAAAGGAGTGGGCGCCCTTGGAACCCGGGCCAAAGGCCTCGGCACAGCAATGAGGCCGAATGCATGGGCTCCGAAGGAACTCGAACCCTGTGCGACGAACAACCACAACAACCAGAGTCAGAAGTATATTCATATAGAATATGATATGTAATACACGGTACATAACATCTTATATATAATTTATAACGGTACTAACCAGGAGGAAGACCAACGAAAACGCAGCGTTAACAGCAAGCCGGGGACTCAGAAGGCTTTGATCTGCAGGACTCCAGATGCAGAACAGCAAGCTGTGCAAAGAGAGACCCGGGTTTAGGGTTTAGGGTTTAGGATTGAGACACAACAATCAGGTATCTGGTGGATGCTACTGGTGTGGTGAAGAATGATCTGCAAGACTGCACGGTTGCTTGCACAGTAGGCTCCCAGCTACAACAAAGCTCAAGGGCACCCCAAGCGCGAAGAAGCCCTACGACGCCACCTGTGCCGTGAAGGACAGGGCTGGAGAGGGGCTCAGAAGCATGGGAAGTCTCCGAATTGCAACTGAGACAAACATCGACAAAGTACTAACTGGCCACACCTCGATGATATGAAAAACTGCCTGCTCGCGAATGCATCGACGAATGTGCTCTCCGTACTCTGTTCGATTGAGCAATGCAAAGTCGAGTGTAAAGGTTGCGTGGAAAGATATACCTCCTGGCCAAACGTCTGGCATGACCCACATCCCCAGCAAGATCAGACGGCAAGCGGAACTGGAATATGAAATGCTTTAAACCAACCCGAAAGGTAACCAAAGCAGCAGCATCGTTGGAAACCTTTAAAAACATAAATAATACCAATAATAGTAACAATAATAATGCTTCAGCGGCACGATGCTGGGAACCCGGGTGGGACACGCCTCATGGAGTTCACGCCTCACCTGCAGAGACTGGCAGAGATTGCTGCTCCGAAACAAGGGATCATGCATCGGCAAACTGAAAAGGTCGAGGCGAGGGACTTAATCTAAGTTACCATAAGTAGGGATCGAGAGCATATACCACGGCTTCTTTATGATAATAGCTTAAAGTAGGCTCCTTAACCAGAACCCAGTTGTTGCACACTTCAGGACGACATCTGAAGTCAAACCCGCCCGGCCGTCTGCTGCGAGGAATCGCGCGTCGAGATCAGTGCCGGGCACCTGTTGCTGCGCGAACTTCAGATGCTCTCTCTGGTTGCATTGCAAGGACATGACCAGAATATGTCCCAGCTTTGACTGCGTCACTGCAAGTGAGCATGCGCATGTTCATATAAGTGTTTAGGCAAGCAGGTAACCAAGACTGTATGATGATGTACACATGTGCTAGAGTTAGCAGTTCGGTGGGTAGCTCGTGAAGGGGTAACAGGCTGTCTGTTGGTTGTTTGTTTGTTCGATCACGTCGACACAGCACTGCTTGTGACATTCCGCCGATCAGCGGGCTCCAGACTCAACGTGAATCATGAACTCAATCCACTCACTTCCGCGCCTGCTTGATGGCACGGTAGATGTACATGCCGGCCACAGGCATGCTAAAGCTCACCACGAAGGCCTTGGCTGCAGAGGTGTTCCCTACTGGGGAGTCTGCCGTCAGGCATGCTGTCCACCGATCAGGGGAAGTCCGTGTCTCACACATTGTGTAGAACACGTTGCCGGGATTGTCTTTCATACTCCATCAACTACACTCAGCCGCCCTCTTTCTGAGCTGTAACCAAGGCGTACACCAGCAGCGTTCGGCTAAAGTTGGAGGACTTCTGCGCGGCAGGAACCTGGCAAAGCGGCCAGCTCGGTTGCAATCTCAGGGCGTCTTGTTCAGGCAAGTGATATCTCTTCCTGAGGAGCAGTGCACGGAGATGTCGGACACGAGGAAATTTCTACATGGCCTTTGCTTGCTTAAGCCGACCTGGAAGTTTCCGGTGCCTGCTTGCTTACCCTCAGAGCGAGCTAGAAACTCGCAGGGGTTCCGAGGCCCACAACCAACCTGGAACGAGTCTGACATAGTCTGACGAGGTGGCAAGATGTGCATGCAAACCTCAAGTCCATCCCCCAACTCCCAAATGCTCCGCTGAAAAGAACGAGCTTGTTCAGTTCAGCCCTTGCACAGCAAGCGTTCAACCATGCGTGCCCTACCTTCGTCGCCAGCAGATTCACATCACTGGTCTCGGAATCAGCTCCCAACCGCTTGAAAGCAGCCTGCTTCATGCAGGCAAGGACACGTGCATTACCCTCGTACCCATAACCAAAACTGTCCGTTTACCCTTCGCCTTCATCTCGCCGTCCAAGACGGCATTCCATTCGGCCTGCTCCTGCAAAAACGATCCGGGACATGCCACCCTGTCTAATGGGAATCGGTACAGCAGAAGTGCTCTGTGGCTTCGCAAAAAAACCAGCTAAGCAAGGCCCATCTGCTGTGCCCTCGCGTTCTGTCGGAGAAGAGCTCCTTTTTTAACACAGAGAAGTTGGAGTAGCACGGGGATGCTTCCCACTACTCGTGTACAGCCTGACATGCTACACGCTGACCGAACCATGTGTTGTCTCGTGGGCTCGTGGGTCCTTGGCTGGGAGACTCTCCACCATGGCTCCCATCTGGCCCCGCCAGGCCTCGGAACACTGTTGCGGACAAAGAACTAGATAAGTCTAGGTGAGAGGGAGCGCCGTAGCACCTTAGTTCGATGTTCGATCATTGGCCGACCTGCGATGCTGACGAAAAACACAGGCATTTCTGTGGGAAGGCAGTCAGGACCCATAGCCATAGCGTACTGATCGCGATGGTGATAAATAGATAACTGTACTTACTGTGCTTCAGCATGAACTCGTCATCGAGTCATCATCTACCTATCATCGTTGTCATAATCATCGTCGTCGTTGCCATCATCATGATCGTCATCGTCACATCGTCATCACCGTCATCATCGTCATCAGCATCACCACCGTCATCATCCATAATCGTCATCATCCTCACGTCGACACATGATCATGTTCTGTGTCAGCTACCGGCATTGCCGTCAGGACATACGGATCAGTGATCATGACTACCGGCATCACGAACATCATAGTCATCATCTTATGTAACCATCATCGTCGTCGATGTCTTCCTTCGCAGCATCATCGTCAGCGGCACCCATCATCATGCTCACCATCATCTTCTGTAGATGCTAGCCAAATGCCGCAGCACCGCCTCAGGACGGGATTCTAAGGGTAAACAGAAACTAAACCCCAAAGGCGCCTGGGAGCGGGAAGACAACCAAATGGGGTGTCAGGAACTACACCGCAGGGCCAAAGAGCAAGGCAGCCCCCGGCGAGGAAACGCAGCAGACCCTGTCATCATGACCACGGTCAATCAACACCATGCTCCTGATTACCATCTTGCCATGGCTTTTTCCACTGCTTCGGCTTCACGCTGCAACCCACTCGGCTCGAACCGCAAGGATCTGGGATCGAGTTCATGTCGGTTTTTGGGGAGGGGCGTCGAACGAAGTATCGGCGGCCACGACCGCACCTAGCAAATGTTCCCAAGTAGAAAGACAAGAAGAAGAACTAGCAGGAGTTGCGATTTGAGTGAGTGAAAAATCCCCATTGCTACCAGTACGATTTCATGCCGGGTTAGGAGGAGGAGGAGGATCGGCCAAGAATGTACCTTGAAAATATTCCGGAGTGAACAGTAAGAAGGAGGAGAAGCGATAAGAGTAGCAAGAATGTCCACATTTCTACTCGTCATGATACATTTCTACTAGTCATGATGACCCTAAACCCTAAACCCTTAACCCTCTCGGCCCAGGTCCCCGGCGACGAGCTCCGTCGCGGTCTGCGCGCTGCGAGCACCGGCGGCGGAGGGTCGCTCAAGTCGCGGCTGCGGAGCTTGGGCCTCCTGTGTTAAGGGCCGACGGTAGAAGGATCCTTAACATAAGGGTTTAGGGGTTTTGGGCCAAAAAAGGATCCTCAAAACAAGGGTTTAGGGGTTTTGGGCCGCTTTGGGCCAAAAAAGGATCCTTAATATCAGGGTTTAGGGGTTTTGGGCCTATAAGGATCCTTAAAGTAAGAGAGTAAGGGTTTTGGGCCGACTAGGGCTTAGGATTTAGGGTTTAGGGCATATTGGGGCTTGGGGGTTATTCGTGTTTCGAGTTTAGGGTAGACTGAGGGTTTAGGGAGTTTGGATTTGGGGTCCAGGGGCTTACGGGTTTAGGGTTCTGATGAATTGAGTCTGTGAGGCATCGATTTTTCAATGCATTTCGAAGTCTCGGGCTTTGAAGAATCCGAGCATAAGTCACCGAGGACTCAGAGAGTTCCTTGAGCCCTTAAAGGAACCTTCTAGACCCTTAAAGGAACCCTCTAGATCCCTTTAAAGGAACCCTATAGATCCCTTTAAAGGAAGCCTTAAAGGATCCTTGTTTCCTGAGAGTTTTGGGCTTCAGCTTCGAGGGGCGCCGAACCGGCGCCTGGGGACTCTGAGACCTTTCTGTATCCTTGTCGCTAAGGTATGGTTCGGGGTTTAGGGTTTAGGGTTTGGGGGTTTAGGGTTTGGGGTTTGGGGTTTGGGGTTTAGGGTTTGGGGTTTAGGGTTTAGGGTCTGGGGTTTGGGGTTTAGGGTTCGGGGTTTAGGGTTTGGGGTTTAGGGTTTGGGGTCTGGGGTTTGGGGTAAGCAGTATTGATCAACGCTACCGTCAAAAACCGACAAGATCCACTACTGTCCTAGGCTCTCCGCGTTTTTTGTCTGGACCTGTTGCTTCTTTCCTATGTATGATTGCTTCTCTCCTACACCAAAAGATTGTACTGATACGATACACTCGCCAATACTCCCAAGTCCCATATACGTTCACCCAGCCGGTAACATAAAAAAATAAACTCATGAAACCCTTGTCAGGCTCTTATAGAACCCTTAAATGGAACCCTTAACCCTTACCAAAGGAGTCCTTAAATGAGCGGAAGCCGACTTCAAATCGGCTGCGCGCTTGCCGCAGTTTCGGGCGCCTTGGAGAGCATGACCGGCTCGGGCTGCGGGGCGGCAGCATCCTGCTTGGAGATTCATGGGTAGTTATAAGTGGGGTTATAAGTAGGGTAACTATCCATATTAGGGGACTTATAACCCTACTTATAACTACCCATGAACCTCCAAGTGCGGCCACGGAAAGAAAGGTTTCGTTTGTGGATGGGCTCTAAGGTTTGGGATTCGGGGCTTTTAGGGCCTAGGCTTTAAGCGGTTCGCGGTTGAGGGTTTGGGGGCCAGGGTTTGGGCTTACGGTTTAGAGTTCGAGGGCTTCGGTCGAATTTCCAAGGCGCAGGGCTGCAATGGAAACGGAGCGGGTTGGAGCCTTCCAGTTGCTGTGGAAGGCCCGTCTATACTTTACTAATGCAACCACCTTCGTCGTCCGGTAAGATGGCCCACCATGGAAATTCATCAAGCAAGAAAGTAACTACCTAGGTAGCACGGCCCGGCAATGAGGACGGGTTGGAACACATGAAGAAGCTAGTGGGTAAGCAGGTTTGCCTACACTCTCCAGCTGGACATAGTCGCCTGGGACTTCGGGTGCTTGATGCGCTCCAGGTTGTCCTTGTACTCCTCACAGACGCGTGCATGAGACTTGCGTACTTCTACCCCTCCGGCTTCGATGCGTGACATGATTCGGAAAGTCCTTTCTGCCCCAGCCTCAAGCCACTTATGTCTTGGACCCAAGTCAATACATGATCGGCGTCCGCAGCTCCTTGTCGATGCTGGACAGAGTCGGCTCCTGGAGGCCAGCTTGCAATCTTTGTGGGAACTCCTTGTTTGAACTTCATCTGGGTTGCCCTGCTCTCGTGCTTAGTTTCATAGTCAAGATGCCAGCGGAAGCTTTACACCGCAAGGGGCTCTCGCGGGTCAAACCTCTCGAATTCCAAGTGCCTGGTACATGGAGGGTATCCAAGTCTTGGCAATCTTCGTCTGCTTGTCCTTCCTGCCATTCCGCCCCAAACCGCTGCACCCCCCCCCCCCCAAAGAGTCAAGACTCGAAGAGCAATCCAGGGCATGTGAAAGCATGACATCCGGCAACAGAACCAAAGCCTGGACTCACCAACAACCCGGCAAAATGAAACGTGCCGGTCTACACCAGGCATTGAGCTCCGCTTCCGTCTTGCAGTCCTTCGGCGAGTAGGGGACCTGTCGGCTGAAAGAAGCGGCAAAGGTTGTGCTGGGGAGCTGGGCTCTTTGTGCAAGCCTCCACTTGTCGAAAGCCTTTAGGGACTTTACGGTGTGAAGCGAGAAGGCGCAACTCCACTTAGTGCAGAGGCTCATGTCCAAATCGGACAGGGAGCCCCGGGGTCTGAACATCAAAATCATCCACGTGTCTCGGACCAGTTTAGAATCCGTAAGAACAACGCTAACACGGACCCCAGTCCGGAACGACCCGGAAGCTTCGTCGCTACCTCGTTCTCTTCACATGCAGTGGCGAAAGTGGGACTTCCTTTGTGGTTCGGACCTGCTGGTCCTGGCTACCCTCCTGCTGGAACTTCTGCCATTCGCTCATCCAGTCCTGCAAGACACTGGGCTGTCCCATGCGAGCAATTTCTTGCTGCTGCTGCTGCAGCTCTGCGCGATCTGGTCAGGGCTCAGGACTGGACCAATGTGGATACCTTGACGAACCAAAATCTAACCATCGGACCCCGCGACAGTTGCGTACTTCTGAGTGGCTTCGTGCGTGCATACTCGCTGCCTGCCAAACTTGCCAAGTTCTGACTGATAGCCTTCGTCCCTGCTCTCCGCATATGACTCTGAACACAGGTGAAGGACACACACTGGGCCACAACAACTTCAAGATTCGGTCCTTCTGGGTGTACTGGTGGGAGATTCCCATGTACTTGGAATAGTCCTGGGCGATTCAAGGCTTCACCGACCCGCCACTCAGCCCTCTGGAACGTGCCCTTGCCCCACCGCAGCTTTACTGGTTATTCTCACTTCCACCGTCTCCCGGGCCAAGCGGCCATGTACTGCCGGAAGTCGTTTGTGACGGCAGGCAGGCCACCTGAACCCATCAAAATCACATGGCAGCTCACCGCTTTGAAGAAGAAGGTCATCCTCCACGAGTCTGAAGTAAAAAAAGAAGGCTTTCAGGGCATGTTGAGGACGACCTCCAGGCATCATGTCATCTCGCTGGCCAAAGTTGTCAAAGGGATCTTTTGCACAGCTTCGGGTGTTAAAGGCTGTGGATTCCGGATATCTGCACGCTAAGCAGAGCCCCCGTCCCTTTACTATCGAAGGGATCCTACTCGTCAATGAAACATATATAAAGGGTTAAGGAGTGTTGAAGTTAGCTCTATCCTCTAAGCTTCAGAACCCGCAAACCATAAGTACCTGCCCATCCCTCATCAAATCTGTCAAGCGTTACATTTTACTACACCTTTGCTCCCTTGTGGAGTTGCGCAAGTCCTAGCCTTTCGGGCCGCCGTCTGTTGTGCCGGAGGGCACCTCGGAAAAAGACGGAAGGGGGAGCACATGCAGGGTGCTGTAGGGGCCTTCAGAATTAAAGAGGGTGTTGGGGTATATTGTACGTTAATTATAATAAGGAACCCCCAAAATAGTATAGGTAATTACTAAGGCCACTACATTACAGGAAAGAGTGGGAAGCCGAAAGCGAGGGACATCTGAGGCTTTGGCGAAGCCATGACCCATGTTTCCGCCACCGAAATTGGACAGAACTGGGCAGGGAGCAGCAGGTGGGTTTAGGGTTTAGGTTTTAGGGTTTAGTTTCACTGCTCGGTAGGGGATCAAAACCCTGCACGAACGCAGATTCCACTGGCATCAGCTATCCGCACAAGGCAGAGGTCAGCACCCAGACCACAACACTGCTTGTACGTTCGGCCCAGCTTGGAGCGAATATCTGCTTCCAGCAACTGGAGATGCTGAAATCTCAACATCACGAACATTCCACCCCGTTTCCCGATCCTGGATTGTGAAGCCAGCTCCACAATTCCGAAGGTTCGTAGGTCTTACAGAAAGCTAGCAGTGGTTGTAGCTAGCATGTATGATGCGTGTGCTCCGGCAACACGGGAGTGAGTAGAAAGCATAAGGCACCGAATCATCCGCCCTGGACAGTGCACAGACAGTACTGCGCAGATCAAGGGATGCATGGTATCGTAAGAAGGCCTTGCTTCCAGTCTGCCGGAGATGTCGTGCCCTTAGCTTGCGGTCCTGGCGGCTGGACTGCGTGTCGCTAGAGCCCACGTCGTCATCACTGCCTCGGAGATTTTGGTATTGAGTGGGTTTGGAAGGTTTCTCGCATCTCTGAAGCGTACGACTAAACTGTGCTAAACGACCTCAGCGACTGCGACGACGACAACGACAGCCGCTGCCACACTTCTCCTACGCTGCCGCTGCTGCTGCTACTGCTACTGCTGCTACTCATGCTGCTGCTACTACTTACTACTGCTGCTGCTACTACTATTACTACTGCTACTACCACCACATCACCACCACCCGACTGCGACTACTAACTCCTCCTCCTCCCCTCCTGCGCCAGCCTCCTCTTCCCCTGCTGCGCTTGCCTCCTCATTCTCATTTCCACGTGGGTGATGTCACGACGTTGGTGACGATGTATCACGATGACGGCGACGACGACAGTTCCACACAGGTCCGCCTTGCTCTGCCGATCCGAGCTTGAGACCCTTAGTAGCCTTATCCAAGGCATCGAACTGGACTCCGCCTCGTTGGATTCGTTCACAGGGAGACAGACCCCATGACCCCATGCCAGAGACACGATATTTCTGCAGGATCCTATGACAATGATCATGTTCCTGACAGCCAAAGTTACAAGATATCTACGCACGTCAGGCCATATATGTGTGGCGTCGTCTGGTATGACACCCCAATTGCTTCAAAACAAGTTCAATCGCAACGCTTCAAGGCTGGTCAATTGCACGAACCTGACCTTTGGTCTCGATAGAACTCAGCGAGCTGACTGGGACACTTGAACCCCTTCACAAGCCCCGGGCTAAAGTACTTGTTGTAGTCTCCACTGCCACCTTGGGACAGGCTTGCGATCACATATTCTCGGACCGCCTGCACACCAAGCTTTCAAAAACAACTGTGCAGCACCATGTGCATGATTGTAGAGTCTTAAAGTCCCGCATCGCGCGTGACCAGAGGTCTGTCTATGCATCTACCTATGAGTCTCACTATCCATCCATCGATCTATGCATCCATCCATCTTTGCTTTGCTTTGCTTCGGGGTTGGGACGCTGGCAGGCCCAGCGCGCTCAGGGCGCTTCCCCGTCCAACATGTTGTCAGATGGAGAGTCTGTACGTGGGGAGTTTGGTGAGAATGTACTGGGGTTTGGTGTTGTGTGCCTCCGTGGGGGCAGGTACGACTAAAGGACCAAGTAGGGTAACGCTAAAAGCGGGTGCCCCTCGGTGGTTCACACTCCAGACACTTTACTGGACCCGACCTACCTGCCTAACCCTGGCTGTATCCCGAACTGAAGCCTGATCCCTGCAGACCCTGCCTCGACCTTCCACCCAGCCCTGCACCTCTACATTGTGTGCCCCGGCATCCATCTCTATCTTTTTTTTCTTTCTGCATCCATCTCTATCTCTCTCTCTGTCTCTTTTTGCTTTGCTCTCATGGCGGTGGGGGGGGGGGTGAAGCCTAATGTGTCGGCTAATAAGGCAGGAATACAGCTTACTGGGGCCTTGTGTATAAGATACAGATAAGGAAGGGATTAGGATGGGAAGCTTTTGGATGTCAGGCCTTGGGGTACATGCAAGATATGACAGCTAAGGCAAGAGATGCGATCCATTTCATCCTTTGGTCTGCGGGTTGTGGCGCAGGAGTCTTTCGGGGGCTCCCAGTAACACAGACAGACACAGACAGACAGAGACAGACAGAGACAGAGACAGAGACAGAGACAGAGACAGAGACAGAGACCGAGACAGACAGAGAGAGAGAGATAGAGACGGAGAGAGAGACAGAGAGGGAGAGAGAGATCGAGACAGAGCGAGAGAGAGAGAGACAGACAGACAGACATACGTACACGCATGACGTACATTCCGTCCGTCCGTCCGTTCGTACGTACATACGTACGTGCGTGCATAAGTACTGATGTACTTACATACGCACATACATAAACCTACATGTTGTGCGTTGCTGCGTGCCGGCGTACATGTATGACATGAACGGACATTTAGCATGCACGCATGCGTGTATATGTGTGTATGTATGTATGTATGTATGTATGTATGTATGTATGTATGTATGTATGCATGTCTGTGTGTATGCACGTAGTGATGCAATCATGGATGGATTCATGGATAGATGCATGCATGGATGTACAGATGGTATGGATGATATGCGTTTCAATGACAAGTTGACAATAACATGTTGACAAACATGTCAAAGCGACCCCGGCGTACACGGCGACTGCACTGCCAGCTGGAAACAAAATCAAGAAACTAAGTAAGTTGGGACGAGCTGCACTGGTACATGTTCCATATCAGGATCAGGATTGTCGTGACTGTAGCCCCCGTTTCGGCTTGTTCATATAGGATATACATGAGAAGCAACCCTTCTGCCTTCGACGAGTCGAGCAACGAAGGTCTCTCTTCTGGGTGACTCCAGCTTTGAAGTGTGAGTAAAGAGTCTGAGCAACTGGCCTTTGCTGGAGTACCGGAGATACTGCTCGAAGTTCAGAAAATCCTTGCAGTCTGACGCCACAATGCGGGGTAAACAGCATGAGCAGGGGATTTTGATATCCATACGCTGTCGAAAATCTGACCCTGTTTCGTGGCGGGACCGAGGTGAAAGGGTCTGGACATGTTTTGGGAAGACACCGCTGAGGCAGTCCGTGCCCTAACTCCTGTCCTTGAAATTGTGAGCCTGATCTTCCTGGCGGTGGGCGCCCTTGCCAACGTAGCTTTTGAAATCCATGTACTTCTCGTAGTCGGCCAGGAACCTCGACAAACCAAAGCCATTTACAGCTCGGCTGGATGGTTGGGGTAGTGGCTTGGTGAAGACGTCGCAGTGTCTGCTAGTAGGCCTTTCACATCTCCTATTTTGTCCCACTCTTTGGCTGTCACAGTACCGCTGCCTCAGGAAGCCCTACACAGGGCACCTCGTTAGAACCCGACATGAGGTGCCAAGTGCTGGGCTCGCTCCAGATACACTCAAACCGAAAGCAGCACAACTGCTCCTACCGGCCCGAATCACAGCGCCGAGTCAAGTCCTCCAGAGAACGCAGCTAAGCCTTGAAGCTACATCTGTGCAGAGGTCGCACTGTCCCTCCGCAGCGGCTCGAGGCATCCAAAACCGGAAAGACAAGCAGACTACATAAAGATAGAAATTGTAATGCTAACACTCGTGCGAATAACAATCACAGGAATACAAATAGTCATAATCATCAAAATATTCATCAGAATATCGGGTTACGGCTATTCAAAGATCTGCCGAGCCGCTCCTCCTCCGAGAAACAGATGGCTCTTTTGGTACTCGGGCTTAAGGGTTCAGGCTTTAGGGTTTGAGGGTTAAGGGTCTAGGGTTTCAGGGTTTAGGGGTTTAGGGTTTAGGGTTAAGTTTAGGGTTTCAGGGTTTAGGGTGTAGGTGTCGTACCTCACCATACCGGTATCGGATGAACCGGCCTATGCCAGTGCCCATTCTCTGAATGGCAAGAGCCACCTGCCTGGTCTTTTTCGCAGCTGCCGCCAACCCATGGCACTTTGGCGGGGCTGGGGGCTTCGTTCCTTGCTCAACCCTACAGCCTTAAACCTAAACTTGTAACCCGAAACCCAATTGCTCAACGGTTCTTTGGAAGTCGAGCCCACTCAGAACATGGTGTTCTTTCGCTTCGCAATGTACTCCTGGAGCTGTGGCGCGGTATCCACGGCAAGCCTCAGTGACACACGTTTGAAAGGCAGTCGAAGTATTTTTGCAACGTTGTCGGTGTGTGCGGACGGAGGGAACATCAATTCTGCTGCAGACAACTCCACAAACCACGGTCTGAGGTTCATCAACAAACCAATCGGTCATGGCACCGGTCATGGCGGTGATAAACATAGGAAAAGACGGTATAATACTGAGGTGCTGCATGAGCAACAACTGGTCATCATCAGCAGCCGTCGTCCTCCCCCTCCCCCTCCTCCTCCTCCTCCTCCTCCTCCTCATCCTCGCCCTCCCCTTCCCCTTCCTCCTCCCCTCCTACTCCTCCTCCTCTTCGCCGTGAGGGGGGTGGGCACGGCAGCAATCCGGACAGCACTACGACCCGCACCGTTGGAAGAACAGTCGTCGTCACAGTGAGGAATACCACTCCAAAGGACTGTCGAAAATCGAGCCTATCGGCAAACGACATGCGGAGATGCATGCCCTACGCCATACATGAAGATAAGCAGATCGAGGCAGTTAGATTCGAAATATTCAACTGAGGATTACTGATGTTCATTGCACAGACGGGTACACTCATTGCACGGGCTTGTGACTGGTGCCCTATACCAAGGCAGCTTGGTCGCAGGGCGGCCTTCATTTTGGGGCAGTCCTCATGACGAGGCTGAGTGCTCGTCCAGGCTGCTGTGCAAGTAACATACAACAATTTTAATGGGCATCGCACTCTGCAACTGGTGCAACGTATGGCGATGTCACCAGCAAACAATAAGACTGAATGATGAAAAAACGTGGGGTACTGCAGGGAATCGTGATATAGACAAATGATAAGACGAATTTGATACCAGGGCTCCTGGAAGGAGGCTTTGGCACCCTCCGTGTTGTCAAAGAAGCCGTTCGGAGACAGGAGCAACCTTAGATAGGTGGGTTTAGGGAGGGTTTAAGGTTTTGGGTTTTGGCTAGCGGGTATAGGTTTACTTGCTGGGATGGTATACCGTGGTGGGTTGTGGGTAGGGTTACCTTTTTGTCGGGCTCTTTTCCTCTAAGTTTAAGACGGGAATGCATATGGAAATGTTCCGATATACTAAATTAATTATTTACGCTTGAAATACGAATAAAATACGACTCACTGTGTTGCAAATAGTTAGTAAAAAAAATAGTTTTAAAAAAATAGTAAAAAAATTGGCTCCAAAAATAGGAAAAATAGGAAAAAATAGGAAACAAAAATAGAAAAACAGAAAAATAGCACAAACACTGTGTAAAATACAAAAAATAGGGAAAAAATAGGAAAAATAAGAGAAAATAGGAGAAAATGGTATTTCCTATTATTTTCCTTGTTTTTCCTATTTTTCTGCTACCTGCTGCCAAAGCAGGATTTCCTATTTTTCTATTTTTCCTAGAAAAACAGGAAAAAAAAACAGTAGGAAAATCCTATTTCTTATTATTTTCCTATTTTTCCCCTTATCTTTCTGCTATCTGCTGCCAAAGCAGGATTTCCTATGTTTTTCCTATTTTTCCTAGAAAAATAGGAAAAATTAAGAAAAAAAATTGGAAAAAATAGGAAAATAATAAGAAATAGTATTTTGCTATGATTTTCCTATGTTTTCCCATTTTTCCTATAAAAATAGGAAAGAAATAGGAAATCCTGCTTTGGCAGCAGATAGGAGAAAAATAACATTTTCTCCTAGTTTCTCATATTTTTCCTATTTTTTCCTATGTGTTTCCTATTTTCCCTATTTTTGGAGCCTATGTTTTTTCCTATTTTTCCTATTTGGGGGACACCAATTCCTATTTTTGCGCCACCCGGATCCTATTTTTTTTGTATTCGTATTTTGGATTCGCAGTTTTTCCTATGTTTGACGTATTTAATCTATTTTCAACTTGGCCAACCTTTCCATGTCATTCCCGTCTTAACTCTAAGTAAAGGGTTTCGAGCAGAGGCTCTTCTGTTTAGGCTTTGGTGCTTGTTCGCGTGTTTGCCATAGGGTTCAGAATTTCTGGCTGCACGGGGGATCATGAGCCCATCATCTCTCATCAGGGTGGAATGGCTCTCTGAATTCGCCTTCCAACACACCTATGGCCTGAAGCTGCGGACTTTTCTGGCCGACAGGTCTCAGCCTTCCAACCATAGTTCCCCCCCTTTTTTGAGAGGCTCGCCCTGGCTTTCGGCGACCTTCTTTTGTTCTAGTGGGCCCTCTCAGATTAGGACATCTTAGGAGCCCGTGCGGTTGACAGGATTTTGTTCTTGTACGGTTCTTTTGCGTTAGGGTTTAGGGTTTAGGGTTTAGGCTTCTAGTTAACAGGGTTTCGGATGGCTCAGGGCCGGTAACTAATGGCCTCCCTCGACCGGCTTGTGCGGCTATGCCAACGCCGCTCATCCCAGCACCCGAGAAAAGCACCGCAAAAACTGTCAAGCCAACCCACATATCGTTCCACAGCCCAGAAACATGTACCATTGGAGATCGGCTAGTGAAATCTTGCCTTGCAAGATGTCAGTGAAGGGGGGAGCTTCGGCAACTGCTTACGAGGGCGACCAGAAAAGGCCTATAGTTCAAGACGTCGTGGACGTGCATCGAACGCATGCAGCTCTTCCACCGATCTCAACCCTCTCTGCCGTTCTCTGCCCTAAAGCCTAGAGGCCCCAGGACCCTGATCGGCCAGTTCCCAAGGATCCCTCGGAGGCCTCCGACCAAAAATGGCCCCGAGCCAGGAGGAATGGACTTCTCCGCTTTTTTCACCCAGTCCTTGCAGGGGCTCCAAACTCCTGGCTCTCACTCTCAGCCCCTCCAAGAGCACAGAATCCCAACAGGCCAGGGCTCTGGAAGATCCTCTTTGAACCACTTCTCCAACGCCTCTGCCGCTTCGCTTCAGCTGGGATTCCGGAGAAGCAGATTATACTACACTCTAGTCGCCTCTAACCCAACATGCCATGAAATACAAGTTGAGGCGAAGTCGGAGGTCATAAACAATGCCGCAGGAGCTGAGCCGGTACATGCACGCGTAGCTTCTGCGAAGGCATAAACGAGGCATGCTCCCTTCTGCCAGGCGGCTGCTGCTTTTTCCTCCTCCTTGACGTCCTTGGCCTTCTGATAGGCTTCCTCATGGACATACAAGGCTGCGAGCACGGAAGGGTGCGTGGATGCTTGCGCCCAAGACTCCTTGATGTCCCTGATAGTCTCCCCCAGCATGTCGACCTGGGCAGCCTCCACGCTGGACCCTCCCATCATCCCGAAATCAGCAGCAAGATAGCGCTCGATGGCTTTGGACTGGCCAATCTTCTTGCCATCCACCTGCGGGGATGGAAAGGTGTGCTCGTTCCATCAATGCTCCCTTGCAAGTGCTGAGGCTGAGACCTCCAAGAGAGGAACCTTCCCCAGCGAGACGTCCAGGTCACCCTTCGCTTTCATGTCATCAAATTCGGGGCGGCTGATGGTACTGAAGTCCCCAGGCTTCCCGAAAGTCAGGGACAGTCGCACATCCTCGTAAGGCTGTTTCGCGGCGGCAAAGAGGAGTCGGCACGTCTCGGCTACGCCGCGAGCGTCGAAGTAGACCAGCTTGTATGACTTCATCACCGCGGGCGGCGATCCGCAGAAACAGTCCATGCTGCAAGATGCTTGGAAGCCGGTAAGGTCACCAGTCGGAGCAGAAAACAGGCTCGATGCATGAAAGGATTCCTCCTAAGGAGCCACTCACCTTCAAGCCCACGCCCTCCAAACCCGCTTATCCGAAAGGAGACCTGGAAGCCTCGCTCCTACATGTACGTATGTATGTCTGTCTGCTAGCACATGAATATAGCCTTAATGTTATGCTTCCACACCGCCATACATTGAGAGCACCAGTAAGGACCCGAGGTCGATGCTTGTGGAAGTTCACGGGGGAGTGGCTTCCCTCCTGGAGATCTCAAGGCCACATGAGGACTGCAGATACTTCCCGGCAGATCTCGTTTCTCTTCGCTTTGTCTAGGTACATGTATGTATGTATGTATGTATGTATGTTTGTACGTTTGTATGTTTGTATGTTTGTATGTTTGTTTGTATGTATGTATGTATGTATGTATGTGTGTGCATATATATATATACAGAGAGAGAGAGAGAGAGAGAGAGAGAGAGAGATGAACAGCAGCTCCAGGAACTCCAGATTTTCAACAAGGGAGGTTTGTCTCTTCCGTCCTTATGGAGGTAGTCCATGAACTGCTGGTACTTCTCGTAAGCCTTCCAAAGTGTGGGATCAAAGCAGTAGAATGAAGCTGACAGCGACACAGCGCAGCATCCTTGGTGAAGGCCGTATAGTTCATGGCACCCTTGCCAGCCGACTCCATTTCCTTCGGACCAGCGGGCGTTCGAATTTAAAGGTCCTGTGGTCAGTGATGGGCCCTTCAGCTACTAAGATACTAGGCCGGCCCTGGCTTCGGATCCAACGCAGAAGTTTTCTGCAAAACTATGGCGATTGCGCAGTCAACCGGTGCCAAGAGGGCATTCACATCTAGCATTGAGAACTACGTGCCGAGTTGGCTTGGCATACTACAGCCAAGCTCCGGAGTTGAACTTGATTGGGAGAAAGCCGGCAGGAGACGGCTCTGGAAGGCATCCGCAAAACGCCATGCAGACTCAGGAACTGTACGAAGTACACACCCCAAAAAACAGAGGTGACAGAGAGAGAGAGAGGTCCTTGTAGGAAACCCCATTTAGGCCATTCGGAATACACAGCTGGGACAAATGAACTCAGTCGCCCTCTCTCTGGCTCCTTCTTGTAGTCCTCATACGTCTTGTAGTCCGCCTGAAACTGTGTTTATGCTGGCTACTAATGGCCTCGAAATATTCGCGATTGAACGCTTTTAGTTTCGACTCTGCACATGGCACGGCACCTGGTATCCCGCATACTGGGCAGGTGCTCCTGGAGTGGCACTGGCCAGGTACACCTCGAGCAGCATGGATACCGCAAGCTGTTTCGAGCATAATTATGCTTTGCGTTGGAATTGAGGTTGAGGTAATTGCAAGAACAACAAATAAAATGTAGCGCTTATGGGGTACACACTGCTGCATGTCACACACACACACAGAGACACACCACCGTGAAGCCTCCGCTGTGAACTGAACTATCATGGCCTGAATACCACGGCTGCGCAACCCTCAGCCCATTGTTCTGGGGCACGTCGGCTTTCAAGCAAACTTGTCGGGCAGATCCCTAACTCCCATTCCAGCAAGCAGCACAGCTGGCTAGGAGCAGCTGCACACGGCACATCATGATCCAAGCGACCTTAGGTGGAGCAAGCGCGCTGCTCTAAAGCGAGCGGATAGTGTCGATGCAAGTCTGTACATGTAGGATGGTAAACAACGAAACCTGCAGCTTCATCATACACTTCTCCAACATCAGGCACACCGACGAGGGCACGCTGAAGCTTGGATGCATGATACTCTTAGTGTGAATTTGTACATCGCATTTTGCTTTCTTAGACATATTGGGGCTGTATCCGAGCCACTCAACCGTTTCCAAGAGCATCACATCGTAGCGTAGCTACTGTCAGCCCCATAACAGACCCATCAAAGTCTACAATTGAATGATATACTTCAGCAGTGTGCACTACACCTGAACACATTTATGCACATGTTATTCCACGGATATGAAAACTTAGAACCATGCATGTATGCGTGGGATACGCACAAAAATCTGTCTGTATGTATGCATGCATGCATGCTTGTATGTATGTATGCATGTATGCATGTATGCATGTATGCATGTATGCATGTGTGTATGCATGTACACTTATATTCATGCTTATAATCGTATCTTTGTTCGTATGTATATTCGGTTATACCCGTAGCTAGATTCGTAATTATTATGGTCTTTGTTTTTGTTAACTCGAAATTATCTTCGTTTATGTATTTACGTGTGTGGGTATACGAATATACAGCATGTGTATATCACACATTTTCTGTATCCAGCATAGTACTTAAATGCACATAATTAGTGTCATAACATACCAAACACATTTTGGTAAGGTGGTGTAGCTTGGATGTTCTCATGCTCTATGCTTTACCTGCACAACAGCTGAATGGCAGTATGTGCTGGCCGCAGGTTCTGCAGGTTCTCTACGGCTGCGACTGCGACTACGACCACTACCACTAACACTACCACTACCACGACTACTACGACGACTGCTGCTGCTACTACGACGACGACGACGACGCCGACCACTACGACTACGCACCTGTATCCGAACCAAAAGAAGCTGTGACGTTGTGTAGTGGTGCAACCGAAGCCGGAATCCGAAGTTCCAATGCCTTCTACGCTGAACCCCGACCCCACTCGGAAGGCTGACCCGGCTGCCGCTCAGCAGTCCCCGGACAGGGCAAGCTTCAGCTCGAGAGGAAATGCCATCAGTGCGCACGTCTTGTGTAACTTGTCTGCTGTACAGGTTTAGCGGGCATGGATGAGAGGGTCTGTATACATCCTTGCGAGTGAGTGACTCGGATTGTGTCCAATCGGAATGTAGATCCAGCCCTGACTTCAACAAGTTGATGCAGGCCCTGAAGCTTCTGTTCGGCGACCTGCTTTCTGCGGCCGGTGGTGCCCGGCACCCTAGGTTCCGCTGCCTTATGTCCTCAACTCTGAGCGCTTAACTTTCCTGAACAGTGCCAGAGACACACAGACATAGCCTTCCCTGTGTCTTTTTCCATCGTGCGCTGAGGAAGCTTCCAGCTCCTGGCTGCTTCCCCAGGGTCAAGAGTGCTTGAAAGCTTAATTTGATAGACCTTCCGCTGTGATCTGCCGGCTTTTGGGTTTCGGATAGCTTGGTGAAGCTCCATAGCCTGCACATCACGGGAAGGCTAACACACGTTATCAAAAGGTATCATCGTCGCGTCAGTCTTTTAAACGCCAGCCTCCTCCGCTGAACACTTCCCGCATCCGCATAAGGAAGAACCCTTGTCATATGTCTGAACTCAACATTGCCACATAGCACAAACGCAGAGAAGCAGGGCGTTATCTGACGGAGGATGCGAGCCTGCCAAGAGCAAAGCCTCCAATGCTCCACATGCAGAGACTCCACATGCATCACAGCACGGCGTGGGCGCGAGTTCGCATTCACATGTCGAACTCATCCAGGGGGATGTTCAAGGTCGCTGAGAAGGCAGGCAAATCTTCTCTCTCAGGTTCTCCTCACACAACATCCAAAGGGCTACACAGTTCGAAGCCTTTGGATAAGTGGTCAGTCGTGTAGCTCCCACTGTTCAAAGTTCACCTGGCAATCCACAGTTATCGACGGCTGTGGGTCTAAACCCGAGCCCTTCCAGTGTTTTCCGATAGAGACCTCATATTCGCAACTGATGACACCAAGAAGCTGAGGCCAATCGGGGATAAATTCACTTCGACTCGGGCCTTGGCGACCTCGAAAATCCGGGCCGAGTTACAAAAGGAGCGCAGCCCAAAAGGCTTTCGACAACTCGGCTAGCGCGGGAAGATCGCAAAACGCGGATCGACAAAGTCCCAGCTACCCCACAGCTGCGTTGACCTGTCAGCCCCCAGTCTCTTCTTGCCGAAATCGAATCTGCTCGGACTTTGCGAGGAGCCTACAGCCGCCCAAGTGGGCTCAGTGGGGCGAAACCGCACGAAGAGTTCGGCTCCTTGCGCAAAGCGCGGAAGCCGAGGCCAAAAGGATGATGATCGCGATGATCGTTAATGTCATTGCAAACACAAGTATGACTATGGCATGACTATGGCACTGCCGTGGGTAATCTTTCTCATGGGCGACCTCATCCTCGGCCTTGCCGTCATTGTGATTGCTGCCATACATGCACACACACACACAAGCATGTGCACATACATACGCACAGACGGACACACGTGCACAAAGATGCATAGGGGTAGACACACGAAAAACATGTATACGTACACGCATACAGATGTATGTATGGATGCATGGAGGTAGGTACGTCTGGTGGGTAGGTAAGGAGGTAGGTAAGTAGGTAGGCAGGTAGGTAGGCAGGTAGGTAGGTCGGCAGGCTAGGGTAATCTTAGGTAAGTAGCCATGTATGCGTATAAGTATGTATGTCGGTATGTATACATGCAGGCACGCATGCCTGCCTTAATGTATATCTATGTCTATACCTGTACGTGTCATGTGTGCTAGCAGCCGGAGACAAGCCGGACCACCGCTGTACAAACGGTCCGAGGCGGGCACCGTGTTGGAGTCCTCAGACCTCCCAGTCCGAACAGACAATCCAGGGCGGTCAGTCGCAAGGAAAGCTTTGAGTTGGGGAGATTGTGCCTGGATTATCGACATGTTTGGACAAATCGTGAAGAGGTGATCCTCAAGAACGGAGAGCAGCAAAAATGCCTCCCTTTCAGCATGGTCAGCTTTCATTTTCAGAACCTCTCATAAATCCTTCTCATGGTTTACAGCGGCAGACTGCAGACACTCTGTCGAGGAGCCTTTTCGCACAAACCATGGAGCCCGGCCCTACTCCCTGAACCCTAAACCTTACACTGACTGACACTAAGCTTCGCCAAAAGACCCCCTCCCCCCGCCCCTGCCTCGTCACCGGCATCTAGCTCAATGTAGCGCTCGATGGTGATGGAATCCTCAGAGTTCCGGCGGCTGACCTGTCGCCGGGACTTTCGAGGGCCGTGCGATCTTCGGAGTTACGGCTTCAGGACTTCAGGGCTTTAAGGGGCTCTGTGGCATGGAATTGACAGGGTTTAGGGTTTAGGTCGCTTGTGGTCCAAACTGCTCGGAACTTCGAAGCCAGAAAGTCCTGGAACCTGGGGCACCGGGCGCAGGGGCTCAGAGGCCGCGACCCTAGCCCGAAGAGGGCAAGAGCAGCGGGCCTGTGTTTAGGCTTGAAGGTTAAGGGTGTAGGGAAGGGGTTTGGGTGGTTTTGGGGCTTCAGATCCACGATGTCGGCTTCCGTAGAGAGGCAGGCTGGCTCACTCGGGGATGGCACAGGCACAGCGGGCTTCTATGGAGTTTACACTCTGTATGCGTCGTTTGGCTGGTAGCATTCCAGCTGGCCCGGAAATGAGACCTCTTACAATCTAGGGCGTGTGAGGGGTGACTTGCGTTCATGCTCTTCTTGCCCATGTGTGCTGCGTTGAATGGGAAAAGAAAAACATGTTGCACTGTGGGGGGGGAAGAAGCAGCTTAATGACAAAGTCAGCCGCCTTCTAGACTCCAGACCTTCAATTTGTGCCCATCAAAAAAGGCCCTTTCAAAGCTTCCGCAGCAAAGTCAAGCATCAGACGTGTTTTTGGGGTCGCTATGACAATGAGGATGCTATCTCCTTCTCGAGGAAACACCAGTTTGGCCCGAGGCTGAGATCGGCTGTGGGCTTGTGGAATGGCCCTCCTTCTCCCCTCTGCATCCTAGAACGAGGCCCTAAGCCTCAAAATCCCCCATGGACCTAATGGGACCGACAGAATGTCCGCACAACCAATTCGGCGCCCGGCAAAGCGAGACCCAAGAGCACAACCTGACAAAGCAATAGCAGAAGCAGGCACCCTGCGGCTTTCGGGCTTCGGGTTTCATGTCTTTCGTGGGGATTATAGCGCTGCGACAACTGGGATGGTGGGCGCATCGTCACAACCCAGGATCCGCGGACGTCTTGACATGAAGCATCACGGCAGTGCTGGTGAGGGTGTTAGAAATAATGCTGTTTTGAAAGATCTCCTTTCATGAAGGAGCACGTTTGCTCAGAATCTGGCGTTACGTACACAGTGCAATATCAAAGAGCACCAGGGGTTTGCATACACATGTGTATACATAGAACGTGTTTGCGTATACATCTACAGACAGAACTGCAAATACAGGCAAGAAGATCCGCAGAAAGACACATACATGCTGTCGACTAGTCTTTGTTAAAGGCCTGATATCGATACTTGCCATCATGATGTTGGCAGTTCTCTTAAGTATGGTTCCTTTTGTCCCCAAAATAG